GGAAGCTCCTGCAGGGGAGAGAGATTTCTGGATTCCAAATCAGGTTCTTGGACAAGAAAATAAGGAGAAATTCCAAGCTTTCTCATCAATTTTCCAAAGCTGGTGCCGGCGACTTGGAGGGGGGGGAAATTTCGGGCTGCAGCGGGAAGAAAGAAGAGCAGAATCGGGCTGGAGAAAAAGAGGAAAAAGGAGAAAAGAAATAAGCCATCCTTATCCAATTTCTACTCTTTTAAGCCCCTCAACTTTGGATATTTTGGCTCTTAAGCCCAAAACAATATTTTTCCATAATTTAGTCCCTAACTCACTTATTTATTCTAGAAATTTCTGGGGTATTACACATTCACTCGTGAATGATTGATTTAAGGGGTTAAAAGGAATGGTAAAGTGTGTATATGGTTAGGTCGAAATAAAAACGTGGCACATAGCCGTGTTATTATGGCCATGGCCAAAGTGAAAATTGCATGACACGTACACTACTAGAAAAATGACGTATACGGACCGACCATATACAGACCGAATAGTGTCGGTCTGAACAAATAAATGTTCGAACCAATATCGGTCCGAATATATTCAGGTGGGACAAAATCTACTAATGAACATATTCAGACCGGGATCGGTCCGTATATTTCTAGCGGGAACTCACAGTATCGAAGCGCCAATAATATTCGGACCGTAATCGGTCCGAATATTATTTCTAAAAAAAATAAATATTAAATAACAAAAAATATGAATAAAATATTATTTAAATAAATATATACGGACCGGATTCGGTCTGTATATATCCATTAGAGAATACAAAATTTCATTTTTATATTCAGATTGATTTCGGTCCATATATTTATTATTTTTCGTAAAAAATAAAGATTAAATAACCAAAATTAGGAATGAATTATTATTTTTAATGAAATTATACGGACCAAAATCGGTCCGGATATATTAATTTATTATACTGATGAGGATCGGTCTGTATATACATATCCGGACCGATCTCGGTTTGAAAATTTGCATCAGGGAATCTCTACATTGATTGGATGCTGGGTCCCACCGACAGCTTTTTTCGGACCGGGATAGGTCTTGATAGGGATGCATGCAGCCTTCTACCCTACGTCTCGCCCGTCCGCCCCCCCATTCTGCGATTTCTCCACAATTTTCCTCTGTTTTTTCCTGTCTTTTTTCTTCTTCTCCACTGCAAGCTTCGCCTCCAATCTCTGGCCAACCACCACTGAGGTAAATAACTCTTTTCAGTCAGTTTTTGGCC